TGAAATGATTCGTCCATCCAATTGCTGGCACCATGCACAAATGGACGCATCTGTTCCGGACCACAGTTTTCAGCCAACCACTTCTTGAACTTCTGATGCGTACGCGACCCTCGCTCGTAAAGCGCACTCTCCGACCCCCACCCATCGGTAACACACCTTGGATCCTCGTTGCCTCGACGACAACGTGAGTGATCCCCTGCCCAATGATCAGCCGCTAGTCCAATCTCCTCTGCGACATCCTCTGCGCTCATGGGGTTGCCGTCCCGTGCACGAGCGGCACAATGGGCCATCACATGGTGGAAATGAATACAAAATCTCTGGGCCACAGTCACCTCACGAACCAGCACATCCGGATCCACGTCCTCTCCTCCCTCGTCGTCAGTGGCTGGTGCCTTCTTCTGACCAGAACCCCTCTCGACCCATCTTCTCTTACGTGGGCGAGTAGTCGATGGAGGCTCGGGCGCAACCTTACTGCTACTAGAGCATCCCACATTCGACTCTGCGCTCATGTCGCACGTACCTGCATGCAACGGGCAGAAAATGTGCCTCCGCACATGAATGGGCAGAGGGTATGAATCTCCCAGAGACCGTACGGTGGTTGGGGATGTGAAGATAATATGAATGCATCCGAGAATGTGGTTGTTGCTGGGTACGGGGATGGGGCAGAGAAGAAGAATGTGAGAGAGACAGTGTATGCTACAGTGGAAAATGATGGTTTGTGAGAATATGATTGCAGCAGGGAGTGTGATTGCAACAGAGGGTGTGATTGCAGCAGAGATTGTGACTGCAGCAGTGAGTGTGATTGCAGCAGAGAATGTGATTGCAGCAGAGAGTGTGATTGCAGCAGGGTACCGGGACGGGGCAGAGAAAGAGAATGTAGGAGAGACTATGGATGCTGCACATGAATATCATTGGAGGCGAGAATATGAATTCAGCAGAGCCTGAGTTTCATGCGGAGAATATGATTGCAGCAGAGGCTGTGATTGTTGACACGAACATGAATAGAGCAGAGAATATGGATCCAGCAGGGAATATGAACCCAGCCATGAATATGTTCCCAGTATGGATTACGAATGCAGCCAGGAATATGAATGCTGCCGGGAATATGAATGCAGCCGGGAATATGAATGCAGCAGGGTATATGGATGCTGGAATGAATATGAATGCAGCAGAGAATGTGAATGCAGCCGGGAATTTGATTGCAGCCGGGAACATGAATGCAGCACCGCTTATGATAGCTGCTGAGCTAATGAATGGGGCGAAGTATATGAATGCAAACGATAATACAAATGTATTAGAGACTCTGGATGCTGAACTGGAATATCATTGTACGTGAGAATATGAATTCAGCAGAGGATATGAATGCACTAGAGAATGTGATTGTTGCTGAGAATATGATTGTTGCAGAGGGGAAATGAGTGGGGCAGAGAATGTGATTCTTGAATGAAATTCGGTGTTTTGTTTTTGCTGTCACAACAAAACGTTTACGTACCTGCATCCGTGTTCTTGTCTGTGGTGGGCTTCGTACTGCAGCAACGCGCGGATGCTTGCATGATCATAAACGAGGTTGCCGAGCATGGACGCACTCCATGTTTAGGATGCGGGTCATATCCCCAGAGCTCCTTGACGTCGGAATACTCCACATGAATGGGCTGACTTTCTTTAGGCGGCGCCGGATCGACCTCACCATCTAGGATATCAATAATCACAAATCCGGGCACGGTTGGCGGTGGACCCGCCTCACCTTCAGCCACGTCCGCCGGCACCCGGTCTGCCTCCATGCTCGATGGGCCCTCAGTTACAGTCACCTCGACCGTATCAGCACTCGCCACGTGCACTTCCTTACCCCCTCTGATTGGTTCAGCACCCTTCTCATGCTCCCTCTCCCCCTCGACAGTCTCCACAACTTCTTTTCCTCCCCCCATTCTCAGCTGCATCACCTTCCTCATCTCTGGGTATAGATAGGGTGTGGTCGATGCACTGTAATCTCGGAACTCCATTTCACGCAACCTACAAACAGCCATGATGAGCTCCTTTTTTGTTGCACGCTTCTTTATTCCGGGCAGCCCCTCCCCCAACTCGTCTTGAAGCCAAGCCCGCAGGTGTGTGGGTGAGACGTCCCACAAGTCCTTGATGGTTGCAGCTTCCGATACGCGCAACTCCACCTTGCGTGAATCCACCATGTCTTTGACTAGCTTTTTAGACAATGTCCTACCTTTGTGCCACACGTCAATCTGGTGATCAATCCCTGTACCGATAATTGCAGCTTTGAACGTCCCCCCCTCATCGGTAATAATCCCCTTCACCTTGAATCCCCACTGCTTTAGTTCATCAAGGCCGCGCCGAAAGGCCACTCCTTCTAGAGCTGTTGCCGATACGCCCTCCTCTGTTTTGGACACAGTAACACAGTGCAGCACTTTCCGTGTCAGAGGGTCCAAGAAAGTAACACTGCACCACTCCGCCTCCCTTGGCTGGCCCCACCTCCCATCCACACATATCCAGTGTCCATCTAATTCTTGCCGTAACGCGGCACTCCTTTCCATCCCCTCTCGCACCCACTGCATGCATGTGTTTGCATGCTTGATGATGGTTTCCTACAGCCCCCCTGCCCCACTCATGTAATTGTAGAATGTCGACTTGCAAGGGATCAGCATTCCCAGATTTCTAGCGATCTCAGTCATGAGTTGGTAACCTCCACCAGCTAGCGCGTACGCTGCCATGAAACGTTGCATGAAGGTAAAGCGTTTTCTACCCAGTTTGGAGCCCGTACCAGTGGCCGGCTGCCGGTTTATGCTCCAAAACGGTTGAGATTTCCCACAACTGTCACAAACCCACAACATCCCGAACCCCACCCACTGCATCTTCCATGACCTCAGCCGCATGTTTCCCGTGCAACCCATGACTATTGTGCATTGCATCGTGCACATGAGTAAAAAATGCACCATGTGCATCGGGTCTAGCAAGCCGACCATGTTTTTCAGCCCAGCCCATGGTGGGGTCGCTGGCCAACCTCCCTCGCCGGTCCATCTTCCCTCATGTGGCTCTGGAACACACGTCCTGTAGGTGGGACGTAGTGGAGGCACGATAGTGTATTTCCAACCCCTTTTTCACGACCTTTCCTATCACCCATATCACCCTCGTAAGTCTGGAGGATATCCATGACAAATTGCTGTACCATGCATACCTGTGCTGCCCTGTTGTGTCCCCCCCAGCCTCCTGGGTGCGTTCAGACACAGGCTCGGCTTGGCTTCTGGTCTCGCCCTCTCCTCCTTCGATAACGATCTCCACGTGCTCCTCAACACCGCGCGTGTCTTGGTGTGCAATATGTACACGCCTCTTGCATGTCATCATAGGTCTTGCCCCGTCGTGCACCAACCCACGTGAATACCCTCCCCTCCTCCTTTGCTTTCCCTTCGCGGTCTACAGTGCATTTTGGAAAGCCATACTTGAGCCCTTCGATGGGCTGCGGCAGCCGCTCTCTAACATCATGGGGCATTCCCTTGGCGCTCCTTTTGAACTCTTTCCCGTAGGTGGACATTATCACTTCCACAATTGCACTCGCCTGGGCGCCATCAGAGCCTGGAAAGGGCACACTCGGTACCCACATTAGGACATGAAACTGCATGGGTGTGCATGCAGCGTGCGCCGTGGTCACGCTAAAAATCCTCGCGTACCCGCTTTGATGGCCGCAGCTGAGAGTTTTTCTTTTGCCCCCTCGCCCGCCGTCAGCAAGAAATACACGAAGTCAGCAAGCGTCGCCGTCTGTTTGTTGCCCATGAGGGCTGTCAAGCCGCATCGTAAAAAGACGATTGGAAGTTGCATATTCTTGGAGATTGCTAGGTTCCTAGTGTCTTTGTTCTCTACGATATCCTTCACCTTCTTCTCCCAATCGCCTCCGGCCATGTTGCTTCGTGCGTCGCACCCCAAGAGAGGCCTTATAGAGGGGCACGCGCTGATTGGTTCCCCCAAACCTACTGCTGTCGAGCCATGCTCCATTCCCGTATTCTACGCCCTGGATTGCGCATCTCAGGGCTATAACGGGAGTTTGGTGCTCTGACCACCGTAGCTGCCGCGTTCATTGACACCCCATGTGCGCTACTGACTGCCTTGGCTGGGCTCTCGTGCCTAAGACGCCATTGCCTGGCCTACCTTAGCGTGCGTGGCTAGTACTCTACTTGGCTGGGTTTTTTCAGGCTTTGATGTGGCCATGAGTTTGGTTGGGGTGGGATTCTCGTGTTGTTTGGCTGAGGTTGTTTCTCCCTAGGACCTAGAGTTATATCCTCTTTGATTGGTCGTCGAGATGTGTACGATTCTGTTTGTGCCTGGCACTCTCGCTGGGCCGTGAGCAGGTTGGTTTCGCTATTCGCCAACCATTTGGAGTCTGTCGATGGAGAGTTTTGTGTCGCACACGCAAGCTGTGCGCCTATCGGCACCGGTTTCCCACTTTGTAAGTGCTGTCGCTCATTGGCAAGCGTCCATTCCCTCCTCGTCACACTACAGTGCTGGCGTCGTCGAGTTTTTGTTACCTCGCCCTCCAAATCTTTCCCGTTGTTGGCGATTGTGGCCCCATGGCGTTTCGTGATTAGCCGTGCGCTCGCTGGGGGTGTTTGTTGCGCCACATGTACCCCACAGCGGGTAGGTTGGCGTGTGTTGTGCGCGCGGAAGCAGTTGGCGAAATTTCATATTCTGTCAATTCCCGTCGTGAGTTCGCACCCTATCCTGGGATACCCGATTTTCGCCAGCCAATCAACCTAGATTCCCCCCCAAGCCTGTTTTGTCAATCCTCTATACTTGGACGGCGGCTTTAAGGGGCGGGGCGCTCTAAGGTAGGCTAGGGCGAAGGCATGGGACCTACCTTGCGTGATACCGTATCAAAGTAGCGAATTATCAACTAGCAAGGCACACATGGAGATATAAGGGTTGGGTGTTGTACTCTCTAAGAATGAACCCATCTAGCCTTTACATGCTATGCATGTGTAAGTTGACAACAATTGTGAACACCTCAGTGTGTACTCTTATTATAATGCATTGTCTTTCAAAGGTGCTAGGGTACGCACTGTTTTTTTCACATGCTATCAAGTCACAACCCACGCTACTTTGCCTTGCCTGGCCTTTCCATACCACAACCAAGGTACGACAACTCTATATATGCTCCAAACCACCACTCATCGTTAGACAGCTGCAACCTGCCAACCGCATTCCCAGGTCATAGAGGTTCACCTCCCGAACCACCACTCCAGATATGGCAGCTACACCTTCCGAACCACCACGACTGGGCATGCAGCATGGTGCACGCAGTAGTCACTCACACTGCCGAGAAACGCCCTGAAGGGGGCAGAAAATGGAGAAACGGGAGGAGGAATGCGGAGGAGACATGAGAAGCAAGGAATAAGGGGATAGCTTGTACCGCATTGGGCATGCAGCATGGATCACGGTACACACAGTAGTCGCTCACACTGCCAAGTAACGCCCTGAAAGGCTTAGTGACTGAAGAGACAGATAAAGAGGGGCAACAGGAGGAACACTATGGGCTGTGGCATTCAGCATGGTGGATGCAGTGGCCACTCGCACCGTCAAGAAATGCGGAGGGAGGGAGGGAGGGAGGGAGGGAGGGAGGAACACTATGGCCTGTGGCATTCGGCATGGTGCACGCAGTGGCCGCTCGCACCGTCAAGAAACACACTCCCTTCCACTGCCCCCCTTCCACTGCCCCTCTCTTGTCTCCTTTCACTGCCCCCCTTTCACTGCCCCCCTCTTGTCTCACTCACTGCCTCCCTTTGTCTCACTCACTGCCCCCCCCTTGTCTCACTCACTGCCTCCCTCTTGTCCCACTCACCGCCCCCCTCTTGTCTCACTCACTGCCTCCCTCTTGTCTCACTCACTGCCTCCCTCTTGTCTCACTCACCGCCCCCCTCTTGTCTCACTCACTGCCTCCCTCTTGTCTCACTCACTGCCTCCCTTTGTCTCACTCACCACCCCCCTCTTGTCTCACATACTGCCCCGCAATTCACCTCACAGTGCAATAGCCATGGCTGCCTGTCAGCAGCAGCTGCACTCCAGCTGTTTTCCTGTGACTTCACCTCGCTGCCTATCACTACGAGTGTTGAGGGCCCCACGAATACTCACCTTCTGCGTGCAAATGGGTACTCACCTCTTCACAGTGCCGTAGCCATGGCTGCCTACTACCAGCAGCCACACTCCCTCAGCTGCTCCAATGCCTCTTCGCCTGGCTGCTTGACAGTATGAGTGTTAAGTTCCGTAGCCATGGCTGCCTACCACCAGCAGCCACACTCCCTCAGCTGCTCCAATGCCTCTTCCGCCTGGCTGCTTGACAGTAAGAGTGTTGAGTTCCGTAGCCATGGCTGCCTACCACCAGCAGCCACACTCCCTCAGCTGCTCCAATGCCTCTTCGCCTGGCTGCTTGACAGTATGAGTGTTGAGGCTCCCACCAAGACTCACCTCTTCACAGTGCCGTAGCCATGGCTGCCGATCACCAGCAGCTGCACTCCCAGCTGCTCCACCGCATCACAGATCGACTCCCTGGGCTCGCCCTCTATGACGTCCGCCTCTGCTGCCACCTGGATTGTTGAAGGGCAAGAGGAGCACGGGGGGAGAGTGAGGAACCGTGCATCCTCGCGGCATCACAGATCTACTCACAAGGCTCCCCTTCACCGATGACTGCTTCTGCTGCCATCTGGATTGTTGAAGGGCAAGAGGAGCATGGGTGGAGCACGGGTGGAGCACGGGCACGGATCACAGATTGACGCCCCGGGCTTCCCCTCTGAGACCTGCTTCTGCTGCCACCTGGTTTCGAAGGGACACAAGAGCACAGGCGGGGAGTCCTTTTAGAATTCTCACCGAACCATGCTTGCCCTTGCATTTTCTCCACGTCGTCACAAATCGACTCCCAAGCCTCTCCCTAAACCACGCCCCCCACTGCTGCCACCTGTGTTGTTGAAGGGACACGTCACACAAGAGCGGAGAGCAAGAGTGAGAGGGAACAAGCGAAGAGGGTACAGGATGAGGGCATCACAGGTGGACTTCTTGGGTTTTCCTTCTATCACATCCGCCTCTGCTGCCACCTGGTTTGTCAAGATAAGCAACACATGAAGCTGCACAGCGGAAGGGAAAGGTTCAGGTGCACGGGGCAGGGCAGGCACATCCGCGAGCCCTGGAATTCAGTGTTAGACTTACCGACGAAGAATGGGACGCACCATAAGAGTTTACAGTGAGTTCAATCGCAAGCTTGAGTACATATGATATTCACTAAGACCCAGGACTAGCAGCCCAAGACTAGCAGCTGGGCTCACTAGCATTCGTCAAAGCGCATTCCGTGCTTTAGATGTTTCTAGACCACCACTGTTACATCTAGTCGTGCCAGTGGTCTAGTGGTAGAATAGCACCCTGCCAACAAGCTCGGTGCAGACCCGGGTTCGATTCCCGGCTGGCACAAGTGTCCTTTTTGGGTGTGATTGCTTGGGCTGAACCACTTGGTACCCGCCCTGGTATAGAGTGCCCTGCTTGCACATGACCTTGGAGGCGTGCAGCGCCTGAACCAAGGCACCTTGTACCTCCGTCCATCTCTCTCACTTTCCCTCTCTTTCTCTCACCCCTCCTACCGTAAACTGCTCCCATACATGCCATACCTTGGCACATGGCCTTGGCAGTGCACAACACCTGGACCATACGATACGTTTAGAGTTCCACCTTATTACCAGCTTTGTTCTCACCCCCCTTCCTCTCCCCTCTCCCCCCCCCTCTCACCTTGAACTGCTCGCACATGGCCTTGGCGGCGCGCAGCACCTGGCGGCTGACCGCCTCCTCCTGCTTCTTCATCGTCTCCACCACCTCGGGCGGCACGTAGAACCCTGCAGCGGACCCAAACCGGGCTGGGGGGGGCTAGGTGAGAGTGCGCGCGGGAAGCAGAGGGAAGGGGGAGCAACACCTGCAGGCGGCTAATCCTCTTGAGTCGGCTAATCCTCTTGAGTCGGCTAATCCTCTTATCATTAACATTTCACTCTAGTGTTACCTTTTGAGTCGACTAAAAAGCTAATCCTCTTATCATGAACATCTCACTCTGGTGTTACCAGAAGTCAGGATACTGATGAGTCGACTCAAGAATAAATTCCATCTTCCGCTGTACCAGCAGGCGCCGCATAGACTTTCGGGACTTTCGGGACTTACTTACGGGACTTTCGGGTACGTGTGCGCGTGTAAGACCTGTCGAAACCGTCTCATTCTGATAGCTGTTAGCGAGGATGATTCTTCACTTCACTCTGGAACCTTACCTGGACCAGCAGGTCTTGCATAGACTTTCGGGACTTGCGGGACTTTCGGGACTTCGGGACTTCGGGTAGGTGTGCGCGTGAAGGTGCAACTCCTGTCGAAACCGTCTCACTCAAATAGCTATTAGCGAGGATGACTCTTCCCTTTACTCTAGAGCCTTACCTGGACCGGCAGGCCCCGCATAGACTTTCGGATATGGCTGTGCGTGTAGCGAGGCCAGCTCTTGCTGAAAACTGTTTCTTTATTGTTATCAACGAGAAAAATCAAATCCTCCCTCCAGTATAAATCCTTACCTGGACCAGCAGGTCCCGCATAGACTTTCGGATACGGCTGTGCGTGTAGCAGATGAACCTTATCCTCCGCTTGTATCACGTTCTCGAGAGACCACTTTAACGCGTACGTGCTCTCGTCGCTGGGATCCACCGCCACGAGAATCTTCCGCGACTTTTTCAGCGGCGCGCTCTCGTCTGCGCTCGTCTCAACGGTCGTCTCTTCCGGCTTCGCGGAAGCTGCTTCCGTCGCCATTCTTCCACGGGGAATTATCACGACAGAGAGGAATTATTACGAGAGAAAGGCCTTCGTGATTAGAAGGCTATTTGTGGGCGTCAAGAGAAGAAGGCAGGCTAACAAGTTCGAAACGACGCGATGATGCACGGAGTTGAACTATTAGAACGTAATGAGAAAAACAAGCTGGGAACTCGCAGGAAAGCAAGCAGCGTCAAGATCGTTGAGCGGAGGAGAACTAATTCTTGAAAAGGTCGTCTAAGCAAGAGCAAGCTATTTCTTTGGGAAAGACGCGATGACACAAGAATGCTCGGTCAATTATCTTGCTTGCTCCGCTGGACTCGGATTTGTGACATGACACGGAAAATGGAGCAGGGCCATCTTATGTCAGGGAAGCTCTACACGCTGGCTGTTCATGTCACATCGGCTGCACAGCTCAGCACATGCACAGCTCACACCGACGCTTATACAGCGCATCCGCTTATGTAAGCGCGAAACTCAGCGCTGGCTGCTGGGGGCACTTCATGCCAAAAGCGAGATGCGAATCTGGTTTGGGTGGGGAGCTGGAAAGGACACGGCGCTGGTGCGAACTGCGAACACGTGGCCACCACTGAGGCAAAGCGGGAAGCACGTGGAGGGACCGTTAGGTGTAGCTTGAATTGGGAAGTACTACATCTGATAGAGCTATAATGTGACTAATGCAAAGGACACCAAGCCTATAGGTGAAAATAGCCCATAAGCCTCCTCTCTTTTCCATTAGGTCCAGATGCACTCCATCCCCTACCATAGCGGGAATGCTCTACAGGGCAGACAGCATAGTTTGGGCACAAGAGATAAATGAAATTCAGACAAATGTTGCTCTATTTCAAGTACGATCAGTGTGGATGAACCAATACTGTTTTACTCCTCCCGTTGAAGTAATGGCCTCCCGTTGAAGTAATGCATCCCTCAACACCTCCCAAGTCACCCAAGGCATCGTTATGCAAAACAGCATGCCAAACCAAATGCAACAGTTGAACTACCGGATCGGACGAACCACAATTGTTTTCATCAGGATTCAGGAACCAATGGAAGACGTAGACCAGATGTGAAGTCAGGTCAGTCCAACCCAATCACATAACCATGATGGATGCAGTGTCCTCTCAAAACCAGCCAAACCAAACAAACCCTTTAGTGCTCCTCATACCCCTGCTGCATGTACTGATCCAGGTCATTATCCAAATCCACCTCTGACAACTTCTCCCCACCGCGTCCCCCCCTACCCCCTCTCCCCCGCCCGCCTCCTCTTCCACCTCCCCTTCCCCCCGCCCTAGCAGCAGTCTGCGCTCTGGTTACTGTACCCGGCCTCCCCGCGCCCCTAGGCCCCAGCCCAAACATGGTCGCCCCAAACGCATTCCTAGCAGCAGCAGCGCGCGTTCTCACACCCCCCGCCGCAACAACCGCAGCCCCGCGCCTTCCCCCAACCATCCCCCCCCTGCCCGCTCCAGCTGCTCCCCGCCCACGCGCACTCCCCCTCCCCGCACCTGCCGCCCCGGACCCCACGGCAAAGCGGAGGTTCGGGGGAACCTGAACCCCCTGAACTGGCGGCTGATTACCGGGAAAGGTTAAGCGTGAGCGGACCGAGCCTGACCCAGTTGCACCCGTCTTCGCGGCGCCCGTCCCTCCGGGGAAGGTGAGACGCGATTGGATGGGCTGGGCCGCCGGTGCTGCTGCGGCCGCGGTGGGCTTTTTCGCCGATGACGTGGCAGCTGCGGATTTGCCCTTCGATTTAGATCCGTTCGCAGCAGCGCTGCTGGGGCGAGTGCTCCCGCCCCCGCCTGATTGTTTTCCGCCCGCGCGGGCGGACGCTGATGGGGGAGCGGAGGGCGCGGCGGGGGAAGCTACTTTCCTCTGCGCAGCTAGTGTTGACTGGCGTGCTTCGGCTTGGCGCGCTTTAGCCTCCGCGCGACGGACCGCCTGACTGCGCTGCGCGGATAGAGCGCGAAACCGTTCGTCGAGAGTTTTCGCGGTGTCGCTAGGGTTCGCGAACTGGGGCTGTGCGACGAAGGCAGGCTGTGCGACGACCACGCGACGTGCGGGGCCGTGTTGGCCGACTGCCATGCCCGGAGGCGCGGCGAAGTGAGGCAGTGGAACGGCCATCGGCTGTGGCGTGTCGTCAGGGCCATTGCGAACGGTAACGAACATGGCGACGACGTTACACGCGAAAACGTAGATGAATAGCGACGGTAGTGAAATTACTAGAAAGCAGAGCACCGAGTGAAACGTCTATAGCGATGGCACGAATCTAGTATACGAGGACCTTAGTCGACAAGTATAACTACAAAATCTCGTAGAAGAGAAGCTGGGACCGACGCCTCCTAGGCAAGCCTTTGGCGAAATTCGAGGAGACAAGGCTCGGGGAAGCACACGAATCGGACTACTGAACCTGACGACTGAGCAAGAAACGGAGCTATGGCGCAAGACGAGAGCGGGAAAATCCGATTTCCTCGAGGCAGGAAAGGCATGGGGTGAGGGGGAAAACGGAGTCAGGTCTGGTGTGTGGTTGATAAGACTACAGTATAGAGAATAGCGTTTTCACGAATTACACTTTATCCGCGTTGGTGTCAGGCAGCACTGCTTGGCTGGGCAGCGACGTGGCTTACCCCCACGAAATGACGAAAAGGAGTCTCGCGAGGGGGAATTCGTGGGTGTCGTTCGTCCTCGTGCACGGAACGTGAAGTTTTGCGATTGCCCATAATTCTCCAAATCCGAAGTAGCGTTACCACAAGGAGTCGAGTTTCGCGCGCTAGAGTGTGTCAGAGGGTGTCAGCCCAAGCGGCATGGGGACCACCGATAAAGCACACTCGCTTCTGTCACACAAACCCAACTCCTTAGGTGTTTCCTCCTCTTACAGTCACACGAATTCTGTCTGCTCCAGGAGTTTCCAAGGCAACACGCGCAGATCACTCTCTCCCCAGAGGTTACCATCAGCAGCATAGCTGCTTCAAATCTGTACCTTCAAATAGAGTGTTCTCAGCAGGAGCCGAAAGCGCGTAGCTGATGATTCCTAACCGTTAGCCCGTCACTGTCCAGAACGTCTATTCAGTAGACGGCTGCGTAGGAAGCGTCAGCGTCTGGTGCTTCAGTCGTCTTGCTGTCACATCCCCGCTGTAAAATCCTCGCTAGCACGCCCTTAGCTGGCGCCAGCATAGGAATGGCGGCATGGGGTATCATGACGGCAGAAAGGACGACGGTAGGTCTAACGGCTGGCCGCCTCTAGTCGATTCACCGTCCGCTAGAGTAGGCGGCGAGAACGGCTCAGGCGGTGCTCGCTCGTCAGCCACACACGGCCATTCGACACAATCGCGTTCGTTGCAAGGTCACTCACGGCACTTGAATTCAAATTCAACGCTAGGATACGGAAATGCTATCCAGGCTGGGCCGTTTAGCGTGATTCGTCGAGTGGGTAGCCGGGATAGCCTCGATAAATCCACCACGCCGACTGCTTCCGTCGGGAGGTTGTGTAACCAGCAAGCTTGGTTCGCGAACTTCGCAAGGGATAGGAAACGCTTCGGGATTGTCGCAGCCATGGTCGCATGGGCTCGCGGTGCGACAGCAGCCGTGTTTGGAATCGGTAGAGGGCGGCATTCCCTGAGCGATGGCGGGAAAAGCGGGTTACCAATAACAGCGTCAGATTCATGGTCAGACAGGTGGAAGACGAGCAATGGATGCGGTTTCGCCGTGCTGGTAACCCGACGATGGGAGTCGCTGCTGGTGTGGGCGAGCAGTGGCGGAATTCGCTGGCTGGTCGCAGGCTTGGCTGTCGCTATCATGGTTTCCAAGGCCTTTGCTGTGTGGCTACAAACGGTGTGTAACTCTAATAGTCCGTAATGCTAAGTGCGTGACTCTATCGGTGTGTTGTTTTAACGGTGTGTGACTGTAACGAGCTCGCTGGTTGGCCACCAGCACGGGTGTCTGGCTGTGAATTCTGTCCATTGCATGTAGGGATATGCCAGTGCTTGAATTTGCAAGTGATTGTGATTGTCCGTGCTTGTGATTGTAACGAGTTTCACACATGCCGCTATCCGTCCAAGCTCTATGCTCTCCTCAGCACTTCCATTGTGTGTTCCGAGCTGCTCCGAAGTGTGCTTCAAACGCCCCAAATCCGCGCTACATACTGCCCTCTATCCTCTCTTATTCCCTTCAGCTTCTGATCATCCCAACTGCCCCTATCGATCTGACACTGCCAACTTCCCCCTCTACTCCGAGGTAGCTTGAAGCCGCCTCAAATCTCCACTAATCTTCTCCCCCACACGTCTCTTCCTCTCTTTCTGCCCGCCCCTCTCTTCCCTTTCCTTCAGCCCCACTGCGTCGTTTGGGTCACTGCCAACGCCCCTCACCGCTCCAAGGTGTCTTCGAGACGCTTTTTGAGAATTCTCTAGAATCTCTCACAACAACTTCGACTCTCTCCTCTCTCCCCTTTCCCCCCTCTCTTCTATCTCTATCTTCGCTTCAGCTCCTGATCGGCCCCACTGCCTCCTTTGGGTCAGACACCGCCAACTTCCCCCTCTACTCCGAGGTGGCTCGCTGGTATCAGAGCGGAACCACGGCTGTGATTGCACTGCTCGCCACTAAAGTGAGTGCGTGAGTGTGAGCGAGGGGGAGTGCGAGACTACATGTGTGAGTATATCCCCCCTCTTCTCCGAGGTGGCTCGCTGGTATCAGAGCGGCGTCACGGCTGTCATTGCGCTGTTTGCAAGCACAGTAAGTGATTGTGAGTGTGTGAGTGTTAGGGCACAAAGACGATGCATGGGTGGGTGCTTTGAAAAAAGGTTTTCCACTAGCATCTCCAGTGACGCCCCTCGAAAGTTTCTTTCTTCACCCCCTCCCCACCTTCCTTCCCCCCTCACAGCTCCTGGGGCATAGCATAGCATAGCACAGCACAGCACAGCATAGCACAGCACATCACAGCACAGCACAGCACAGCACAGCACACCACACCACAGCACAGCATCGCATCTGCATTCCCGATTTTCTCCTTTATCTCCCCCCCCTCCCCCTTTCTCCCCCACTCCTTCATCTCCCCCCCCCTCTCCCTTCCTCCCCCACGTTCTCCTTCATTTCCCCACAACCCCCTTTCCTGCTGTAATTTCTCCCCCCTCCTCTCAGTTCCTAGGCCGCCCCATAGCATCTCCAGTCCCGATATTCTCCTTCGCTGGCGCCGGTGCTGCTATCACCATCACAGCAGTGTGCATCAGAGAGGTGCAGTGCGGTGGAGAGAGCTGGAATAGAGAAATGCAGTGCGGCTGAGGGTGGTTTACTGGGTAGGTGTAGAGCAGTTGAGAGAGGAATAACAGAGCGGTACAGTGCGGTTCATGAGGTGCATAGCTGGCGTGCTGCCATCACCTTCACGGCAGTGTGCATCGCAGAGGTGCAGTGCGGTTGAGAGAGGTTAGTGGAGAGGTGCAGTACAGCTGAGATGACATTATGTTAGGTACAAAGCGGCGAAAACGAGAATATCCTATGGGTGCAGTCCACATGAGAAAGACATATGACACATGCACATGGGTTCATGTGCTGTTGTGTGTCCGCCCACATGCACATGGGTTCATGTGCTGTTGTGTGTCCGCCCACATGCACATGGGTTCATGTGCTGTTGTGTGTCCGCCCACATGCACATGGGTTCATGTAGGGATGAGCATGAACCCGACCCGACCCGACCCGACCGGACTTTGCCCTACCCGATGTCGGGTTCGGGTCGGGTCGGGTCGGGTCGAGTCGGGTCAGAGGTCGGGCATGGGCAACCCGACCCGGGTTTTGTAGGTCGGGTTATGGGGAACCTGACTTCGGGTCGGGTCAGGTCGGGTTTTAAGTGGGCAAAATCGAGTTATTGAACCCGTCGCTGTTTTCGAGGCCTTAACGATGGGCCACGTTGTTTTTAACTGTTAGTGGACCATTTCCCGGTGGTCCACAACGAGCTACATCCTTGATAAGGGGCACATGTTTCTTGTCCCTTCTAAAACACCCTTTCTAACCATTTTTTAACGGCATTAGCTGCGTATCACACTCTTGGTTCCACCATTTCATGCGTATCTTACGTGGAGGGCTTCTATTGAGTCCCGGAAACCTAACTTTGGATGCCACATCAATGCAGAACAGTGCTTGTTAACTAATCAGTTTTGCAGACCCCTTAGCTCAATGCTGGGCTCGTCAAGGTTGGACACCGGTGCCCACCAAAGAGCATGCATGACACAACTCTAATGCACAATAAATATTTGGGGGGAGGATGCAAGTGACGGGATGCACAGTGATGCACATAGCCAAGGCACAACCCAGCCACCGCCCACGACCATCGAACCTCTATCCTCCCACTCAACCAAAAGTGTTATCACAGCCCAAAATCCTCACCCTCGATGCATAGCTCCTTCAGTGCCTGCACAGCTGCCGCCCTTAGGAGCTGCGCGCCCTGGTGCTCCGACATCCATGACTTGATGGTCATGGATGCACGCACCTGGGCGGCGCTCAACCGGTGGTGCTAGGACACAATGTTCCTCCCCTGACTCAACGCTCTCTCGCTAGCAGTGGATGTGGCTGGGATTGCCAGGTAGTCGCGAGCCATGGCCCGAAGGCCAGGCAAGTCTACCCTGCTTTGCCAGAACTTAAGGGGGCAGCCCGCCTTAAGCCTCTCCTCCCCCAGGTACCTCTCAAGCTCATCCAGCGGCTTTACCCCCGCCGCTGCCGCCTGCGCGTCCATGATAGCGAACAGCTCATCCGCCAAATCATCCCCCTCCGCCCCCGCCGAACCCCCACCCTCACCCACCGCGCCGCTGTCCCCCTTCCCTATAGTGGCCGTACTGGTCTCCTCGGTCCCCGCCGTCTCCCCGGAGCCCTGCTGGTTAGCTAGGTACTTCTCGAGCCGCTTCCGAACCAGCGTTGCGACGCTCGCCTCGTCCAACACCGGCACCGCCCTAGCAGTGCTTGCTGTGTCGACGGCCAGATCCTTGTTCACCACCTCCCACCGCGGAAGCCTGAAGTAGTGCTTGTAGCGGGGGTCTAGCATGGTGGCCACCGCGAGCTCCTTCGCCACCCCGTACTCGTACTTCTTCAGGACCTCCAGCGCCTCCCATGCCATGTCCTTGATCACAAGGGTAGTCGTCCTGCTGTGGTACATTGTTTGGAGGTTGTCGATTAGGCGGTTGTACTGGGGAACAACCGCCGCGGCTGTGGGGTACAGCGATCCCTCAGCCGCTGTGGTAAGGGAGTGGAACGGCTTGAGGAAAGCCGCTACCTCCAGCAGCGTCTCCCAGTGGTCGTCCCTCAGGTGGAACCTGCCATTAGTGTTGGGCACCTGTTTGGAGGTACCAGGCTGATGAAGACAGCAGGCAAGACAATGGGAAGGGTGTAGAAAGAGTTGAGGAGGGGAGTGGTGGTTTCGGGTTTAGGGGCACTATGTGGCGATGCACCATGTGCAAGGCCATGCCATGCCATGTGCCATGCCATGTGCCATGCCATGTGCAACGCCATGTGCCATGCCATGCCATGCCATATCATGTGCCATGCCATGTGCCATGCCATGCCATATCATGTGCCATGCCATGTGCCATGCCATGCCATCTGCCATGCCATGTGCCATGCCATGCCATATCATGTGCCATGCCATGTGCCATGCCATGTGCCATGCCATGTGCCATGCCATGTGCCATGCCATGTGCCATGCCATGTGCCATGCCATGTGACATGCCATGCCATGTCATGTGTCATGCCATGCCATGCCATGTCATGTGCCATGCCATGCCATGTCATGTCATGTGCCATGCCATGTGCCATGCCATGCCATGCCATGCCATGTGCCATGTGCCATGCCATGCCATGTGCCATGCAATGCCATGCCATGTCATGTGCCATGCCATTTGCCATGCCATGCCATGTGCCATGCCATGCCATGCCATATCATGTGCCATGCCATGTGCCATGCCATGCCATATCATGTGCCATGCCATGTGCCATGCCATGCCATGTGCCATGTGCCATGCCTTGTCGCGCTCACCTCAGGACGGGACAGGTAGAGCGTGAGGGCCGTCTTCAGGTCAATCGCACGCCTGAGCATCTCGTAGGTGGAGCCCCAGCGTGTGGGTGTGTCCGTCATTAGTCGCAAGGTCCCCCCCCCAGGGACCTGTGCCACTCTACGCTGGTCCTCCTCAAAGCGCTCAGAACGTGTGATAGACCACCCGACATGCGTAGCCAGGCCTCTGAGACGCTTCAACGGCTCAACGACCGCCCCCACTCCCAGTGCCTTTTGAACAGCCAGATTCAAAATGTGCGCAAGGCACCTTGCAGGCCAGGGTGGATGGAGTGTGGGGGGGGGGGGCAAGAGGTGTTGGGCGGGGAGAGAATTGAGGGGACTGTAGTCATCCTATCTTGTTGGTTCCCTTGGGACGTGAGGGGCAGCTCTTTGAGCATATGCAAAAACGATGTTTCAAGTGGCATACCTGAAGTGCATGTCCTTCATCAAGACTGGGTTAGCGGTGCGGGCAGTGGGGTACTTCTTGTCGCCGGCCAGGATCTTGAAAGCTTCGACATTGTTCTCGGCGTTGTCCGTCGTCACGCCAAACACTTCAGACAGCAATCCCCATTCGATGAGGACCTCCTCGAACACGTCCGCAATGAGGTCTCCCGTGTGCGATCCATGGAGCTGCTTGAACTCGAAAGTCGCCTGCCGCAGCCTGAAGTCCGATGTGATGTAGTGGCCCGTGACGGTCATGAAGGCCTGCTTGCTGGGGCTGGTCCAAATGTCAATCGTGAAGGAAACCTTCCCTGCTGCCCCGTCACCGGCCACCTCTTGCTGCAGCCATTCGCGTGCAGCATTCCCGTACGTCAACATGTCACGTGCCAGCCGAAACCGGCTGCCGAGCATGTTCGCAGCTTGTGGGTTCAGCAGCGAGCAGAACCGCTGGAACTGGAAAAGGGATGGGCAGAGAAAGAGGTGGCAGCTAGGCAGAAAGAGGCTTTTGGCGGATTGATATCACGAATGTGACAAGTCTACACTCCACTCAAAAATGGACTTTGAAATTCACAAGTAGAGTATGCGAGGGCTCACCGATGGACGCTCGACGAGACGATACGCCAGGTCGGTGTCAGCAAACAGCTCGACGAGCGCCTGTCGCAGTTGCTGCAAGGACAGTCGAGGCGCCATGAACTTGTGTAAGTTCGGCTGCCCCGCTCCAGCATCCGCCTGCACCGGCGCCGGATCCGCAGGAAGCCGCGGCCAGCTGTCAGCATGCGGCCAGGCCTCCCGCTGATGTGGCACGTTCGAATACCCCTTGAGGGGTAACTCCAAACCCGGCTGCTTCTTGGGGTCTGTGTACAGACGGTGCCAGATCTGGAGGTGGGGGTGGTGATAAAGGCGGGCATGCTTCCAGGCGCTGCCAGTGCTGCTGCCTGCCCAGTAAACCGTCTGCTCGCAGCACCTACATGCACGCTTAAGAGGGTCGTCGGTCACGTCGAACATACCCTGCATGAGGCCCGGGATCCTGCCCCCGGTGCCCTCCTCCTCCTCCTCCACCTCCCCCTCTCTACCACGCTTAGGGTGCCCCGCACCAGCCCCCGCAATCCCCCCCCCAGACCCAGACCGTGCTTTCCCCTTCCCCTTACTACACTTGGCCCCTTGCTTGCCCCTTTCTCCACCGCGCGCACCATGCCAGGCCCTTGTCTCCATGGCCTCTGCTGCCCCCCCCGCACCCCCTGCCACTCCAGGCTCCCCGCTGTCCTCCCCCCCACCAGCAGCAGCGCCTGCGTCCATGGCCCCTAGGTCAGCACCCGCCCCTTTCCCACGCCCCCCTCCGCCACCCTTCCCGCTCTTCCTCCCACTCCCCTTTTTTCCGGGGCGTGGGCCATCGTCCCCGGACTCGCATGCCTCCATCTCCTCCTCTCCCGGGCCATAATCCGGGTCATTGTCACGCTGTCCTCCCTTCCCCCCTACTGCGGGGTCCGGAATCCGGTTCCTCTCCCACCCCTCGTCGTCCATGCTAGAATCCCGGTGCCATGTGCCATCCCACTCGTTGTCGGCGTTGATGGAGCCAAGGGCGAAGCTCTGTGGCGCCCCGGCGACGGGCACGAGGGCAAGGGACATCCCGGGCAACGCCGAACTGTCAACGCCGGTCTGCGCCGACGCCGCTTGTGGGCCGTGCGGCCTAAACCGCTGACCTCGCCTTCCATTTGCCGCCGTGTAGGCCACCGACACCTACAATCTAGGCCCTCCCCTAGTTCAGCCCGCTTTAGAGACCTATGGAATGGAAACCCTAGATATCTAAGATGGCCCTAGATTCTACGGACCAATGCCCCCAATTCTGGAAAGTGCGTGGTAAATGCCACGAATGCACTAGCCGCTTTGTTGGAAACTTTCCCTAAGAAATGCGGGCTGTTTCCTTAGGAAATCCGAGTTGCTTAGGGCTAATGTCCTTTCACTATGTCTGAGAAAGAGGAGGATCAGCTGCTGCCTAAAATTCAACCGTCAGAACTCCATTGTTGCTAGGTAGGAGTATGGGATAGTCGAGGTCGAAATAGGAAACTGGTTTTTCAGTTTGAAATTTCAACCTAAAAGTCAAAATTTTGAGATCTGCGCGCAGATCGCGACGGGTCGACGCGCGTCCCGATTTCGGGTCGGGTCGGGTCGGGTCAACCCGACATGTCGGGTTGACCCGAACCCGTGCATGTCGGGTTCGGGTTGACCCGACCCGTCGGGTAAAAACCTAAACCCGACGGGTCGGGTTCGCCCGACGGGGAAACTGACCTGACCCGTCAAAAAGTCGGGTTCGGGTCGGGTTACCCGACCCGACCCAACCCTTTGCTCATGCCTAGGTTCATGTGCTGTTGTGTGTCCGCCCACATGCACATGGGTTCATGTGCTGTTGTGTGTCCGCCCACATGCACATGGGTTCATGTGCTGTTGTGTGTCCGCCCACATGCACATGGGTTCATGTGCTTTTGTGTGTCCGCCCACATGCACATGGGTTCATGTGCTTTTGTGTGTCCGCCCACATGCACATGGGTTCATGTGCTGTTGTGTGTCCGCTCACATGCACATGGGTTCATGTGCTGTTGTGTGTCCGCCCACATGCACATGGGTTCATGGGCTGTTGTGTATCCGCCCACATGCACATGGGTTCATGTGCTGTTGTGTGTCCGCCCACATGCACATGGGTTCATGTGCTGTTGTGTGTCCGCCCACATGCACATGGGTTCATGTGCTGTTGTGTGTCCGCCCACATGCACATGGGTTCATGTGCTTTTGTGTGTCCGCCCACATGCACATGGGTTCATGTGCTGTTGTGTGTCCGCCCACGTGCACATGGGTTCATGTGCTGTTGTGTGTCCGCCCACATGCACATGGGTTCATGTGCTTTTGTGTGTCCGCCCACATGCACATGGGTTCATGTGCTTTTGTGTGTCCGCCCACATGCACATGGGTTCATGTGCTGTTGTGTGTCCGCCCACATGCACATGGGTTCATGTGCTTTTGTGTGTCCGCCCACATGCACATGGGTTCATGTGCTTTTGTGTGTCCGCCCACATGCACATGGGTTCATGTACTGTTGTGTGTCCGCCCATATGCACATGGGTTCATGTGCTGTTGTGTGTCCGCCCATATGCACATGGGTTCATATGCTGTTGTGTGTCCGCCTAACACCCGTGCAAGCAACCCACATCCGTCCAAGCGTACTGGACCCCCTAATGCGTATTGCACCCTTCATGCACATGCTGCTCCTTCCATGCTGCTCCTTCCATGCTGCTCCTTCCATGAGCTCTATGGCCGGAATGGCAGCTCTATGGCCGGAATGGCAGCTCTATGGCCGGAATGGCAGCAAAGCTACCTGCATATGCCTACTCATGCATGCATGCTGCTCCCCCCATGCATGCTGCTCCCCCAATGCATGTTGCTCCCCCCATGCGTGCTGCTCCCCCCATGCGTGCTGCTCCCCCCATGCGTGCTGCTCCCCCCATGCATGCAACTCCCCCCATGCGTGCTGCTCCCCCATGCATACTGCTCCCCCCATGCGTGCTGCTCCCCCCATGCATGCTGCTACCCCCATGCGTGCTGCTACCCCCATGCGTTCTGCTCCCCCCATGCGTGCTGCTCCCCCCATGCGTGCATGTCCAATCCGCCACGCTTGTTGTCATACACACGGATGTTAAGCCTCTCATGCATGCGTGCTGAACCACTCTGTACTGTGAATCCCCCCATGGCAGCTCAATGGTCGCATTGGCATCGGGGCAACCTGCATGGTCTATGCCTTCTGCACTTTGTCACTCCTTGTAAGCTGATTCGTTTCACATATGCTTCGGGTAAGCTGTTCAAGCAAAAGCAACACAATGGAGCACATCTTCAGAATTCTCAGTGATCACCTGAGTTCTCAGCGCTGGTGTGGCGGTCAATACTCAACAGCGCACCGAGGGCAGTATGGGTGACCTCCCCAGTGCACTCCCGGCATGGTGATGGTAGTGATGCAGAGGGGTCCCTGCCATTCAGCAGTAGCATTGGCGTGGAGGCGAGTGCAGATGATTTGACCCCTACCATTCCCATCTCCCTGGTGACTTTTGAGTCGACTCAAAAGTCAGATGATTTGACCCCTACCATTCCCATCTCCCTGCCTACTCGTACAGCTCTGGCAATCATTGCTCATTGGGCCGCCTGTGCCGGTGGGTTCCTGCGGTGGCTCTTCCCCCACGGCAGCAGTGGTGTTGAGGTGAGTGCACTCCCCGTGGCAGCAGCGGCGTGCAGCAGAGTGCACTGCTTTTTCTGACCTCCTTTCATCACCCAATCTCAACCCATCTTATCCCTGTAGCTGTGGCAGTCAATACTCAGCAGTGCACGCATGCCAGTCGGCTCCTGCAGTGGCTCCTCCCCAGTGACAGCAGCGGCGTGCAGCAGAGTGCGCTGCTCTTTCCGACCCTCCTTTCATCCCTTTATCTCAACCCCCGCGTCCCTTGCAGCTGTGGCAGTCTATCCTCAGTGGAGCGCCCATGCTTGTGGGATCGTGCAGCGGATCCTCCCCAGTCGCAGCAGTGGCGTGGAGGCGGGTGCACTGCTCCTTCTGACCCTTCTTTCCTCCCCCAATCTCAACACATCTTTTCCCTTGCAGCTGTGGCAGTCCATACTCAGTGGAGCGCCCATGCTTGTGGGGTCGTGTAGCGGATCTTCCCCCGTGGCAGCAATGGCGTGGCGGCGAGTGCACTGGGTGCGGCTGCTGGGCTTCCTGGTGGCCTGCCTGCTTGCCTACAGCTGCTGGGTGGGTGTGAGGGAGCGAATGAGGGGGAGTGAAGGGGTGAGGCGGGGAGGGAGTGAGGGAGTGACCCCAGTGGCAGCAGCGGCGTGGAGGCGAGTGCACTGGGTGTGGCTGCTGGGCTTCCTGGTGGCCTGCGTGCTTGCCTACAGCTGCTGGGTGGGTGTGAGGGAGCGAGTGAGGGAGTGAGGGTGTGAGGGTGTGACGGAGTGAGGGAGTGAGCGGGGGAGTGGAGTGGGACCACACAGCCCTTCAGAGGCAGCTAGAGTGCTCAATCCACCCCCTCAATGCCCCACTTAGTCACCCCCTTGATCGCCCCCTCGATCCCCCCCTCGATCGCCCCCTCGATCGCCCCTCTCTCCCTTTCATTGTGCACCAGGTTTGCTTCCCCGCGCCCTCAGATGTGATTTGTTCTTTAGAATTCTAAAAAACGAAACACGCCCTCTCTGCCTTCCATTGAGCACCAGGTGTGGTTCCCCTCGCCATCACACGCAGCCAGCCAGGGTGATGCTGCCTTCTGCACCTCCTGCCCGTCGTCGCCCCCCTGTCTCACTTGCTGTCTCTCAGCCCTTCTCCTCCCCATCAGGTGTGCTTTCCCCCTGGCCTCAGACGCAGCCAGCCAGGGTGCTGCTGCCCGCTGCAACTCCAGCAGCTGTCTGATCACCTTTGAGAATTCTCAGAAATCGCATTTGATCACATCTGTCCCTCCTTCCCCACTGTGCCCCCCACACCCTCGCCTTACCAGGCGTGGTTTCCCCCCGCCTCAGAGGCAGCCAGGGTGCTGCTGCCATCCGCCACGCCTCTCTACTTCTGGCCGCCCGCCAGCATGGGAGTGCGCTACTGGTGGTGGATAGGGCCCCTTGCTGTGCCCATCTTTGCCTTTTTGCTCTTCTGGTGAGTCGTTTAGGGCAATGAGGCAGTAACAAGAGCATACTTCTGGCCCCCAGCCAGCATGGGAGAGCGCTACTGGTGGTGGACAGGGCCCTTTGCGGTGCCCATATTTGTGTTCCTACTCTTCTGGTACGGCTTCGGAGGATTCTCAGTGCATACTTCTCTCCCGTCAGCATGGGAGTGCTCTACTGCCTGGCGTAGGGCCCCTTGCCGTGCCCATCTCTGCTGTTTTGCTGTTCTGGTGAGTGCTTCGAGATGGAGTGGCCTGCCAGCATGGGAGTGCGCTACTGCTGGTGGATAGGGCTGTTTGCGTTGCCATCCCAATCCTTGCCTTTCTATCGACACCTTCTGGTGAGTCATTTAGGACTGTCGGTGGAAAGGACTGTTTCTATCCATCCCAAGCCAATTCAACGGGGCACGATCAAGATCATACTTCTGGCCGCCTGCAAGCATGGGAGTGCGCGACTGGTGGCGGATAGGGCTGTTTGCGTTGCCATCCCAGTCCTTGCCTTTCTGTCTACACTTTCTGGTGAGTCGTCTAGTGCAATGCTGCATGATCAAGAGCATACCTCTGGCAGCCTTCCAGCACGGGCGTGTGCAACTGGTGGTGGATTGCCCTCGTTGCCTTTCCCTCCTACCGCCCGTTCCCCAACTCGCTGCTCCGCTGGACTGGCAGCGGCCCTTCAGGAGTTTGCCCATCTGCAATATGGCCCGCCTGTCACCCCTTTCTGCCCCATTCTGCCCTATTCTGCCCCATTCTGCACCATGCTACCCCATTCTGCCCCATGCTACCCCATTCTGCCCCGTGCTACCCCATTCTGCCCCATTCTGCACCATGCTACCCCATTCTGCCCCATGCTTCCCCATTCTGCCCCGTGCTACCCCATTCTGCCCCATTCTGCCCCATGCTACCCCATTCGGCCCCATGCTACCCCATTCTGCCCCGTGCTACCCCATTCTGCCCCATTCTGCCCCGTGCTACCCCATTCTGCCCCATTCTGCCCCGTGCTACCCCATTCTGCCTCATTCTGCCCCATTCTGCCTCATGCTACCCCATTCTTCCCCGTGCTACCCCATTCTGCCCAATTCTGCCCCATGCTACCCCATTCTGCCCCATGCTACCCCATTCTACCCCATGCTACCCCATTCTGCTCCATGCTACCCCATTCTGCCCCATGCTACCCCATTCTGCCGCATGCTACCACTGTGGTAGTACCACATTCTGCCCCATGCTACCCCATTCTGCCCCATTCTGCCCCATTCTGCCCCATTCTGCCCCATTCTGCCCCATTCTGCCCCATTCTGCCCCATGCTACCCCATTCTGCCCCATTCTGCCCCATTCTGCCCCATTCTGCCCCATTCTGCCCCATTCTGCCCCATGCTACCCCATTCTGCCCCATGCTACCCCATTCTGCCCCATTCTGCCCCATGCTACCACATTCTGCCCCATGCTACCCCATTCTGCCCCATTCTGCCCCATTCTGCCCCATTCTGCCCCATTCTGCCCCATGCTACCCCATTCTGCCCCCTCCCTCCTGCATCCTGCTCCCTCCCCTTCAGCTCGCATGGACTGGCATTGGCCTCTCCGGACCGCGTCTATCTGCAGTACGACCTGCCTGTGACCTCTGCAAGCCCCTTCTATCCTCCCTTCCCCTGGGATCCCCCTGTTTCCAGCTCGGACGGCCTAGCAGTGGCCCTGCAGGAGCGCGTCTATCTGCAGTACGACTTGCCTGTGACCTCGCTGGTGCTCTACGTCTCCTGCGCCACCTTGTTCAACGACTTCTGGGGTAAGTACCCCTAACTTTTTCGTCGGGTAAATAAGCCTTGCCGTATGACCTCCCTGTCACCTCGCTGGTGCTCTACGTGTCCACCTGCACCTTGTTCAACGACTTCTGGGGTAAGTTGGGGTTTTAGCAACGAGGGCAACCCGGGTGTTGCAACGAGAGTAACCCGGGTGTTGCAACAAGAGTAAACCCGGGTGTTTTTGTTGGGTATACGACTGTCTGCTTCTGGTCCATGCACTTGTTGACTGATTCATCTTCAGCCATTCATCTTTCTTCCCACCGTCTCTTCCCCACCTCCCCTATCCCACAATTGCATTTGAGTCGACTCGAAAGCACAACCCCTATCCCAGAGTTTCCTCTCCTTTGCTGTCGCCTCCTTCTCGTCCCTTCACCCAAATTTCTTCCCAGCACCCACTAACCACGTGCCAGCCTTTGTTCTCAATTACCGAGTCAACCACTTCACCTTTCCCAAATCTCTATCGCCTCCATCTCCCCCGTTTTCTCACTCCCCCTCCCACCCCACCCCACCCCACCCCACCGTGCACCAGCCTTTGCCTTCTGCATTGGACCCATTTATACATTTCATTCTCCCCTTTTTCTTTCCTTCTGCGCTTCTCCCGCTTTCTCCCTTTTTCTCTGTCCGTGTCTCTCCCATTGTTCCCCCTGTCTTCACCCCCACCCCCTTCCCCCAGCCTTTGCCTTCAGCGACCATTTCGACCGCGCATTTGGCTTCGTCTTTGACTGCCCGCAGTGCCTGCTGTACCTCGTTCTAGCTTCCGTGGTACGTGCAATGTGCTGTGCGCTGTGCGCTGTGTGCTGTGCGTGGTGCGCTTTGCGCTGTGTGCTGTGTGCTGTGTGCTGTACGCTGTGTGCTGTGTGCTGTGTGCTGTGCGCTGTGCGCTGTGCGCTGTGTGCTGTGCGCTGTGTGCTGTGCGCTGTGCGCTGTGCGCTGTGTGCTGTGCGCTGTGCGCTGTGTGCTGTGCGCTGTGCTCTGTGTGCTGTGTGGTGTGCGCTGTGCACTGTAGGCTGTTTGCTGTGTGCTGTGCTGTCGCACGAATTGACATAACAAATGTGTTATGGAAATTCGTGGGACAACTCGAGTAGGTTAAGCGAAAAGGGAGAGGAAGCAAAGAGGTGTACCGGGTGATGTCGATAAAAAGGGGAGGTACAGTGATGGGTGCCCAGGCCGAGGTTGGCAGCAGTGGGGCGCTACGACAGTTGGCAGAGGGACATGCAGGAAGGGTACAGCTCAGCGGTGACGAGAGCGGTTAGGGGAGGAGGCATGCAGTGAGGCGAGAGGCAGCGTCGATGGCTAGCGACACGGAGCCATCACGGAGGAACAAAACCCCGAAATGGTTTGAGGCTGGTTACACGGGAGGGAAGGGTATGCGCTCTGGAATGAATCTGCAGGGAGGGAGCCACAAAACTGCGTGTGCGTAGTTGTGTAGCTACTTCTGTTTGTTCTCTCATCATCATAGGAAAGCGTGTATGCTCAGTGAAGTAATGGATTCATTCAGGAGCACAGCTGGAATTATGTAGAGGGGCCAGACAGGGTGAGTGCAAGCTAAGGAAGCTTCCTCAGTGCTTTTCTTACAAACAGAAGTCTATGGCGGGCATGTCGCTGCGGAGCGGAACGCGATTGCCCGGGGTAGAGGATCCTTCAGGGAGGGAAGGAGAAGATCCTCGCGTCGACGCAAGGGAAGATGCGGCTGCAGGCTGTTTGCTGTGTGCTGTGTGGTGTGTGGTGTGTGCTGTGTGGTGTGTGCTGTCTGCTTGCACTACCTGGTTGGTGTGCGCTGTGTGTGGTGCGTGCTTGCACTACCTGGTTGGTGTGCGCTGTGTGTGGTATGTACGAAACGCTCTTCCTTCATCTTTGACTGCCCACAGTACCTGCTGTACCTGCGGTGTGTGTGGGGTGTGTGGTGTGTTTGGTGTTTGGTGTTTTTGGTGTTCGTGGTGTGTGTGTGGTGTGTGCTGTATGTTGTGTGCTTCTTACCTTGTCATATGAGATATGCGCCTTGGGCTTCGTCTTTGACTGTCTGCGGTGCCCGCCATACCTCGTTCTTTCTTCCGTGGTAACTCACGTCGCTGCTGCTCATGAGAGGCTCTGATGGGCTGCTGTTCTTCGATTCACCCCTTTCTTATCCTCTACCTCCACCCCTACCTCCACCCCTACCTCCACCCCTACTTCCCTTCGTTACTTTAACATTTCCCTTCAATCCCCCCCATGCAGCCATCAGCGCTGGCAGCATTCCTCATGGCGCTGCTGCTGAGAGTGTCTGGAGGGCTGGTCTCCTCCCTTGTCTCGCGGGTAAGATCACCCCCCACTGGTTTGGACCTCCCACGAAGTGTTTGCCGTGTTGCTGCTGCTGAGAGTGTCTGGAGGACTGGTCGCCTCCCTTGTCTCGCGGGTACGGCAAAAAAAGGGTCCAGGGAGTTTTCCTGTGCTTGTAATCTCCCGTGTTTCCCAGGCAAGGCAGCTCTCGTGGCTTCCCTTCTCGTCCTTTCTTTCTATCAGTCGCGTTTCTCGGTAAAGCAGTGTTTTGTTTTTGGGAATTATAAAAAGCATAACGCAAATCTCGTTCCACGGTAAGCCACATGTTTCTATCAGATGACTTTTGAGTCGGCTCGAAAGCCCTTCCCGCCCCCCCACATTCGTAAAGCCCCCTTCTCCCTACTCTGGGAAGTGTCCCCCTGAAGTGCACACAAACGCAAAAGCCCTTTTGAGGGGCACATCGGAGGAGCACAAATGCCCTTCTGCGGGGCATATCCGAGGAGCACAAAAGCCTTCTGAGGGGCACATCCGAGGAGCACAAAAGCCCTTCTGAGGGGCACATCCGAGGAGCACAAAAGCCCTTCTGAGGGGCACATCCGAGGAGCACCAAAAGCCCTTCTGTCTACTCCTCTGTCGTGCCCTCACGCCCCCCTTTCAATCGGATCATCACAATCATCATCCTCTTCCCCTTGGGCCCTGTCTCCTCGCTCTTGGAAGTGTTTCAAACC